ATTTATTAAGCAATTCAACACTGTTTATTACATTGTTTGATATATGCCATCCTTAAACTATTCAACACTGTTTATTGTATTGTCTGATATATGCCATCCTTAAACTATTCAACACTTTTTATTATATTGTCTGATATATGCCATCCTTAATTCAACACTGTTTATTGTATTGTCTGATATATGCCATCCTTAAACTATTCAACACTGTTTATTGTATTGTCTGATATATGCCATCTTTAAACTATTCAACACTGTTTATTGTATTGTCTGATTTATTAAGCAATTCAACACTGTTTATTGTATTGTTTGATATATGCCATCCTTAAACTATTCAACACTGTTTATTGTATTGTCTGATATATGCCATCCTTAATTCAACACTGTTTATGCATCGTATAGCTTCCAAAAATCTAGAAGAATGACTGTTTACTAGTTCAAATACATAAATCAGGTTCCAAATCTTACTCTCTTTATTAGCAGCAAAGTCACCTTCAGGCACAGTCAACAAAATAGTTCCATTTATAGTCTGCTTTTTTTACATGAAATTCCATTCTTTGAATATACATGGGCCAGTTTACCGACTCCAACTAATTTATTTTTGAAACCATTTACAATCATAAAAACACAAAGGCAACATATTTGCTAAATTGTATGGATAATTCAATCAGTGGTATCCTCACATCTCAACAGTAAATCTGCAACCAGTATGATGAAAGTTCAGTGGAGAAAACAAATCTGTTGCTTAGCAGCAATAAGGTTAGGAGAATTAGAAATGGTGATTTTCCTTATACATGTATGTAATACTTCAAAATTAAAACGCCATTTGGTGAATGCCTGAAACTATCAATATATATTAAAAACATTCAAATTAATCATATTTCAAACAATTATTACAAATATAAATTGTGTGGTCATCAAACAAGCATTTTTTAGGAGGCGACTGGTTGGTGACATCACAATCTTTGTTTGAGTGAAAGGACCAAACAGGGGGATATAGTATGGAAAATGTTATTATACCAGTGTACCATTGCAATAAATACATTATACTTAAGCAAACCATAAATTTATAGAGCACAATACACTGTTATGTATGGATTATTTATTGTTTGGAAGTTATGCCATAAAGTATAAATAGCTTTGATTCTATTTCATACTGTGAAACCAAACTCAAATGGTAGATCATTTGATATATAGACAGTTTGGATAAAGAGAAAAAATGATTCTTCTAAACAGAGTAAGCTGCACTAGTATAATATAATAGTCTGCTGTCTGCAATGGTTCACTTGAATGAATCTGTCAACAAATTTACTGCACCTGTTGCAATGTAGTAGTGTTGATGGTGTTGTTTGACAAATATAGATTTCAAAAGTAGGGTATTTATGATGGCATCAAGTCACTGTGAGGAATACAATTTGAATGTAATTTCAACTATGGCTTGTTACAATTATTGCTGCTATGTGATGTATCTCAAATGAAAAAATGCTACTTCCAGGCGGTTACTAGAAGTGACACAGGAAGTTGTATGGTTTCATAGTGCAGTTTAAATCTGAATATATATTTTTATTATTTCAGCGTTCATATTCCTACTACCCGATTCTGCCGTAAATTCGCCCTGGGCCATTAATCGTCAGTTTGGGTTTTTAAAAAAATAAAAGGGCGATTTTTCAGCAGTTTTTAAAGTTTTTTGGCGTCATTTTCCGGACATTTCAATCTTTCCTGACGCCTAAAATTTATTCAAGAGTATGTTTATTGTGACTAGCGTGAATGGGTAAGCTTCGTTTCGACAATGAGCTGTTATCACTGTAAACAATGTTAAAATATTTTTTAATGCTCAGTTTATCTTTTGAACTATTGTTTGATTAGAAAAAAAAAATCATGCCATTTTCCCATCAAAATCCAAGCCAAAACATTGTACTACAATGCTGCATACTAGTAAATCAGGAAAATTGTTACGAAAAAAAAAACATCACAGAAAACCTCAATCAAAAATGGAATTGTCTTTGAGCAAATATGTATTTTTATGCAAATTATGATCGCCGCAACTTCGCCAGTATGCTTATTCCGTTTATTGAGACATGCATCCTAACAAAATTAGCGAGAGAGTTTCCTAACCATTCTTCTAGTAACCATGTTCCAGGGCCAATTATATTTTACTCCAAATGTCTTATTTTGTTTTCTCGATTTGGATCATTTTGGTGTTGTTTCCACCTCTAATAACTAATCTCTACTAATAATCAGAGTTATTGCCTAAATATTACGAGGCCTTATGTTTCTGATACTTTATGTTCTGATATGTTTACATGTGATAAAATTACTTTATTACAATGGTTTTCATTTATGGGTGATACTCTAGTGTTACATATAAATCCAATTTGTCTTGGTATGTGTATATCATCTACCTAGTCCTACCCTAAATCTAAATTAAGACAATTTGAACAAAATTGAAATGCTGTATTACTTACTAAGCATGTTGTTATACATATGATGTATATGCAGTGCATGATGGGAAGTGAACTTCCTATTGTACGTAATTGTGAATGTGAATTGTATGCACATTTATTTAATAATAATACATGTAATAAATGTTAAGATATGAAAAATTAATTTCACTATAGAAACCAGTGTAAAAATACCAATTTTGGCCATTTTCTATTATCTTAGTAATCCGCAATAGTGAAAATATGATGGACATGACATAATCTTAAAATCAACATAGATCAAATCTTTTTATTAGTCCTTCAGGCCAATAGTTTTTTATTTCCGGTTTCCGTCTGTGACATTTCTAACATTTTCTCAGAAATTCTGCAACAGATATCGATGAAACTTGGCAGGTTGATGAATAAGTCTCTGCACATAATTATTTTTTTCCAGATCTGGAAATCCTAAGTGAATCTTTTTCATGTTTTTCATCCAAAATTACCTCTCCCAACACCACTGAGAGAACAACTGAGCATGCTCAGAATAAATAATTAGCTTAGATTGTAATGCTAGGGTTTTTTAGTGATGTCGTGACCCTTGATCTGAATCAGTGACAGATGGTTCGTACCATTACCAATCTCTGTGGAAACTGTAGAGGGGTGTCAGGGCTATATTTTGAGGGGAATTATAGTGGTGATACTGAAACAAACCCAGGTCCTGGTAATATACAAAGACTTGAATTAACAAAGAAGTCAAGTTGTTATTAAAGGTACATCAAGGTTTACTCAGATTTATGAATGCAGTTTCTTGAACATGTATGAGACATAGTTTGGTTGCACTTGTGACATGGGTCAATGGAAGTTTTCAGTTATCAGTACAATACTGGATTAAGGGAAATCACTTTACGATGAGTTGTACCCACATAGAGTACATATTAATTCAACTGTTTGCAGATGTTCCATGTATTTTTTTAACATGAGTATTTTATAATTAAATGACGGGGAATGTGACATTCATGTAGTATTGTGTTTTATCTGTGGCAAAGTAGCAAATTTATTGTTTTGATATTTTTTTCAGGATTAGTAATAATTACAATGGCTGAGTGTAAGGAAGGAGATGATGAATATTCAGTATGGCCGATCCATGACAGAGACTCTCTACTTCACCAAGCAGCATACATCGGCCATCTTAAGAAACTACAGAACTGTCTGCAGGATAAAAAGTTTCTGAAAATGATAAATAGTAAAAACCGACTTGGGTGTACGCCGTTACGTCTTGCTGCCACGAAAGGAAATACAGAATGTGTGAAGTGTTTGTTAAAGCATGGTGCAAAAGTAGATATACCAGATATGAAAGCGCAGACTCCACTATTCATGGCTGTACAAAACAACCAAGTTGAGTGCGTCAAACTACTACTTGAAGCAAAGGCAAATTACAACGGTGACAGCTCACACTTGTGCACTCCGCTTTACATTGCAGCAATGCGAGGATCTCTAGAATGTATCAAATCACTGCTGTCACACGGTGCTGACGCTAACTCATCGCAGATTGTAGCGGGTTCTTTCAATAGCACTCCACTCTATATTAGTTTCACCTACCATCATTATGAATGCTTTAAATGGTTGCTGTGTACGGGTGCAGATCCAAACTTTGGTCTGCGTAAATACATGCCACATACAACAATAACAACCCCAACCCTCTTTAACGTTGCTGTGCGTAGGAGAGATAAAGTCTGGATACAATTGCTTGTTGATTTCAATGCCTGTATGGATCTCAACGATGACAATCTACGAAAACTTCACAATTATTGTGACAATGAAAAAGATTTTATTGAGTACCTTCGTCAAATTATCTGTAAGTAATTCCTTGTTTGTAGTTCAGTAGCACTTTAATTCTCTCAAAATATTATAAATATACAACAAAAATGTATCACAATTTTCAAAGTGCTTATATTATATATTATGATTATATTTGCTTTAGAGTTAGTGTTGGAATTAGAGAAATGGTTTCAAAAAAGATGAAATGTGTTGTGAGGTTGGCTCACAGAATACTTGTAATTTTACCGCCAGGGAGTGACCAGTATAAATATAACAAATATAACTCTTAATAGTCACACTGCCTTGTAAATATAAATATTACCCCAAAATGTACTGTTTTGAGAGTAAATTCTTTATTGATGTATATTTGTTTTTCAACCAAAATTTATTCTTTTGTTGTTTTCAGATTCACCACGTTTATTGCAGTCGCAGTGCCGATTACTAATCAGAAATACCATTGGAAAGAATCGTTTTCATTTGATTGATAGATTACCGCTGCCAACCAAACTCATTGACTATCTGTTGTATAATGAATGGTGACTCAAACTGAACAGAGAAATTGTAATTGGTCAACAATCTAAATCAATTCTTGGTATGGTAAAATCTGTATTAGAAGTCGCTGCTTCTATCAAAATGTTACAATGCACAGAGGGGATGTAGTTTCTATTAAAACATCTATACATATGAGAAATGGTAAATTTTTTGTTCTCAATTATTCATAAAGAATTGGTGCGCCATCTATTAGGGATGTGACTTCTAATACAGATTTTACAGGGTTACTACAGATTTACAAAAAAAATGTAATTGTTGCATTACAAAATAAGAGTCAAATTATTTTTCAGGACATTTGCACTGAGCGTTGATTTGTCATTGATTGAATTTTAATTATTTTAAATTAATGACACCCCATACCCTAGTGTCAGAAATATTTGTGACTATTTTGTGATAGCATCATCAACACTGATAACCACAGGGATGACATTGGGAGTAGAATGGGTATGGGGTTGCATTGGGATGGAATGTGACAGTGGCATAATAGTTGGTGTTTGTGTTCGCTACTAATCAACACTCTTTATATTTTACATCACCTGTACTGGAGTATGACCATAAAACAATACTATAATAGCAAGGCTGTCCAGCATCATAGAGATTGTAGGTTTGACTCTTTGCTGCATTCAGATTGGAAATATAAAGTCTAGTAGGAGAGAACATAAAGCTGTCAGTCCAGTGTGCTAGCTGTCCTTATCCTCAGTGCTTGTAAACAAATCTCAGTATCTCGTTTGCAATGAGTAGAAGATTACCGTGGGATATCTAGAAGTCTTTTGGTTCGCCCAATAAATAAATAAAAATGTGGAGTAAATGGTATGGGTAAACCTAATTATACAAATATTAACCCCAGCCATGGTTGATATACTTTGAGGGCCATGAGGTCTCATAATACAAATTAAACGCACAATTTTAATAACTCTGATATTAATTCATATTAACTACCGTATAATCCTGTTTTCAATATGTGTCTTATAATCCTGTTTGGAATGAATGAATCATTCTCTTGTATTTGAAGACATTGTTACTTTCATCATATTTTGTATTAAGACAGCAGAGTGGACACAAAATTATTGAAGACTGCTTTATTATTTTTTGATGCTAGCAATAACAAGAATAAGAATTCAACAACTCTTGGTTATGTTTTGTGGTGTAGAAACTGAGATACAATTTGTGCATCAGTGTTTTTATGACTCTATAGTGAAACCTTGGATACTGCATTTGAAAATTACAACGCTTTGTGTACACTGGTTTGCATGTAGTTTTATAGATAATCACTGAAGAATTCTTTATTTCAGCCAATTTTACTGTTTCTAGTATAAATAATGTGTTGGTTTGAGTTACGCAGACAAGCATGTTTATTTTCTCTGTCTTGTATTCAATGTATTTCTGTGCTCCTATGTCACGTTTTGTGTCTCTCCAAATTAAAAGTGGTTTACAGTAGCTGTATATAAAAGTTTATTTCATAAATATATTAATTGTAATTGATCGTTAAAATTTTAACATTAGCCTAGAATCTATGCATTTTCCATAAAGTAACTTGACAATGAAATCCTGGGGTTGGTTTGACTTCAAAGACTCTATAGTGTTAAATGCAGTATGTGGAGATTTTTTTTAATCATGTGATCCCAGATTAAGGTCTGATCATGATTTTGTACACTATACATGGATGCTGTAAATGTATAAATGATTCACAATGTATCTTACAATAGGTATGTTAATTGCAACACAAATTATACTTGCATTTCATGAATTTGTTTATATAAAATACAACTAGACCAATCACAATGTGTTTAGGGTTGCCTGGCATTCAATTGACAAATGATTGAAGGAAATCTGCAAGATTGAAATTAATGTTCTCTATTTTTGCTGAAGGAATGATTCAGTGAAAATAAAATCCAGCGAATATACCATTTTTAGTCCCCGTTCGGACGTAGTTCGAAAACGGGGACTTATATTTTGACCTCCGTGCGTGCGTGCATGCGTCTGTGCGTGTGTCCAGACCTGTATCTTAGAAATGCCTGGACAAATCACAATCAAACTTGACACGTACATCATAAATGATATTATACATATGCACGTCAATTTGTTTCTTGATCTGATTAAAGATGGCCGAATGGCGGCCATTTTTGTGCTAAAAATCATCAAAATCAAGCATTTCTTGGCTGTTTACAGATGGATTTTGTTCAAACTTGGTATATACATTAGACATTATAGGACCTTGATGCACATCATTTTGTTTTACGATCTGATTCAAGATGGCCGAATGGCGGCCATTTTGTGCTAAAAATCATCTAAATCAAGCATTTCTCGGCTGTTTACAGATGGATTTTGTTCAAACTTTGTATATACATTAGACATTATAGGACCTTGATGCACATCATTTTGTTTTATGATCTGATTCAAGATGGCCGAATGGTGGCCATTTTTGTGCTAAAAAATCCTAAAAATCAAGCATTTCTTGGCTGTTTACAGATGGATTTTGTTCAAATGTGGTATATACATTAGACATTATGGGACCTTGATGCAAATAATTTTGTTTTTCAGATAAGATTAAAAATGGCCGACTGGCGGCCATTTTGTTTTAATGAATTTGGTTCTCATGCCATATCTCTGACTTGCTTTCACTGATTATGTTCAAATTTTAAATATTCATTATACATCATTTCATAGATAGACAAATATATTGGTTTGACGATCCTGTTCAAAATGGCCAAATGGTGGCCATTTTTGTGCTAAAAAAACATCAAATATCAAGCATTTATGGATGCATTTCCTGATGCAAGTCATTTTATTTTTCAGATTGGATTCAAAATGGTTGACTGGCGGCCATTTTGTTTTAATGATTGGGCTTCTAGAGCCATATCTAGTTATACATCATGTTAAATATATACATGTATTCAAAATGGCTGATTTTGAATACTGCTCCAGAGTATCATCTCACAATATGGACAAGTATTTTTTTGACGATCAAATACAAATGTCAATCATTTTAATGTTAAAAAATCATATTCCTGACATGGTTATGATAACTAACGGGGACTGTGCCATGCATGGCTTGTTTCCTATATTTTACATTTCAATTGTCAAAAATCAGTGAAAATAAATTCCATACAAAACACTCAAAAAGTCTTTTCATCGAAAAATTAATTCTAGCTAAAATAAAGTATTCTACAGTACCAAAAGCTTTATGGCCCTTTCATGACCCCCTAATAGTTGCACATCCTAGAACTTTTGTTGCTATGACAACATCACAAGCATGCACAATTGGGGGCATTTTAATGTGTCCTTTTGTGCTTCTAATAGAAACATTTTACTCAAGCAGCTGAAACAAATTCTAGGAAATTGTGCTGAAATATCAATAAAATAAATTTATTTTTATGCCAATGAAAATACCAGCATGTGTTACCTTTAAAGGTAATGAAATGACTTATTCTATGATTGGGCAATGATGTGATATGGAGTCTTAGAAGAGTTAACAAATATTTTTGATTTATTACATTTTATTTATTATTCACCAATAATATTAATATTTATTGAATTATTACTATACTGTAATAACTGTATATAGGAAAATATGCAAGGCTGGTCCTTGTTACATATTTGCATGCATGGATGTTTACTGAAGTTAATTGTTCTGAAATCTTAAGAATTTGAGTACAATAGTTTGAAAATTAGTAATCTGAAAATATCAATGATGGATGTCATTTGTATGCAACTTCACTAAGGTTCAATCTGCTACAAGTGTCTGATGCTGATAACTTACGATTCTCTTTAACACCTTGCATAATGAAAACTTGTTCATTGGCTAATTTATATTTTATTATACTTTAAATAAGTGGAAATATGAGTTCCACTAAGTAAACACCATAAACACCAACATTTTGCATTATATTAATTTGTACTGAGAGGCTTGTGGCATACAGTGAATGGCAGTAACCTGGGGACATATTTATAATTTCTTTTTATAAATCAAAATTGACGTCATAATTCCAATTGATTAATCCAGAAATAATATTATGACATTATTGTGAGTTCTAATTATTATTAAGTTTTTTTAGTTCAATATCATCCAATCAGCAAG